CCTCCAGTACGGTAAACTTATTGGATTTTCGAAAACGCGTTAAAATCAAGACTGGCGTCCAACCCCAGGCCTTGGCGCCTGGAACCAAGCTTAGCGCCAGGCGCTAGCTATTGGCGCCTAGCGCTAGCCAATGGTGCCTGGCGCCAGCTACCCAGGGTTGGCGCCAGCTCTGTTTCCTGAGCGTCAGACTCTGTTTTGTTAAATTATCTTTTTTAGATGATTTTCTTTATAAATATCGTATTAAAAAACTCCGTTTGGGTTCATCGTTCATCGTTCATCGATCATCGTTCATCGTTGATTGTTCATCATTCATCATTCATCATCTACAATTCTCCTCATTCACAAGTTTTAATTAGCATTCTCTAATTCATTCATCTTTGATTCGATTCTTACTTTGTTTTTCATACAAAATTCCGCATTCACAAGATCTAGAAACACCTAGCCATATTCAAAGTTGCCTTCGCCCTAGACGTGAAAGTTTAATTTTTGAGGGTTTGGTCCCAAATCTCTCTTTCAATTATTTAATTTAATTGCTTTGTTTATTATTTTCCTTGAAGTTACTAACGTGTGTATTTTGTTATTAGAAAGAGGTACGAGGCATCAAAGTAAGTACTTTAATGGTTTTTATTGATGTTATGATGTAGAAATCAGGTTTAGATTGTTATTATGATATCCTAGTATCATGTCTAGGGTATTTTTTAATATGCTTAATATGATTATTATGATGCTTCCTATTTTCTTCCTAATATTTATTCATGTTAGTATCATGTTAGGGTTAAAGATTTGATTTTTATTGCTTAGTGACATGCTAGGGTTTGTTATTAATCTTGTTAGCATCATGCCTAGGATTTTGCTATGTTTATTATGCTTTAATATTATCATGAACATGATTATGATTATAATTGTTATAATTTATGATAATTTATGAATATTATTATTATTATTTTGATAATGATTATTTTTATTCATGATTACTATTATTATTATGATGATTATTATTATTATTCATGATTATTATTGATTATGTTGCTTGATACATCATTTATTCTTTATTGCTTGATCACACCTTTTATGCATGCTTAAAGGGAATTTGGTACTTGTAATCACGCTTAATAAGATAATTAATAATCTTGTTTAGATTTAATGTGATTATAATTCAAGTGATCGCCAATAATAGTTTGTTTGTGCATTAATATTCAACCAACATAGATAAATAGGTTTAGGGTTAATCCTATTGATTGTATATTAATCAGAAAGCGCACATGAATACGATCAGAATAAAGTAGAGGCCTATTATTAGGGCAGATTCAATCTCTTTTAGGTTGGATTTGTACCTTCATCCCCGAACCCTTATTTGGTTCTAGACCTTATGGATTTGACGATCTCTTGGATCGTTAAGGGGTGTAACCTTCATCCTATGAACGGTTTACAAGTTCCTTAAAAACTTGTTGGCGACTCTTTTGCTCTATCTTCTTCCCTTTTGGACGCCACCGTACTTTAGTGTATGATCACGGTGGGGTTCGAGCTAGTGGGATTAAGGCTTGAAATTTTTCCCTACAATCACAGTGGGATTCAAGCTTGGGGTTATGATGCTTGAAATATTCCCTACAAAAACTGGCAATAAAATAAGGAAAATTGTCCTCCTCACTGGTGCGACCGGATTACTCACCGGCCGACTGACTGTCTGTCAACCAATCAGATTTTTTGACTCTCTCGACATGCGTAGTCGAGAAGGGGCCGTCATTTTTTCTGGGGTCAACTTACCCCCGTCGTCCGCTTGCACGGACTCCTCATGGATCTACTCCGCCGCAGGATGCACGGACTTGGAGGCCCCGCTTTGTCCCAGCCGGGGTTGATCTCCTTTAGACTGCTTAGAAGCAGTATGCGACTTTGTCTTGGCCAACATTTTGGAAGGGTTCTTAGAGGCGACCATCTTCCGTTGTTTGGACGCGTTCCCGTCCTTAGCAGCCGCGGACGGCTGCTTCCTTTTAGCCCTGGGAGTTGGAGTGGCCAGCTGAAAAGAGCAAGTAAAAGTTAGCAAAATGTAAGTAGAGTAATGCATCAGCGTCCGTGTGAAATCGGGAAATAGGTTCCTCCCAGCATACCAACACGGACGAAAAGACATGTCCGTGTGAAGTCAGGAAGGAGTTTCCTCCCAGCATATCAACACGGATGAAAAGGAAACATGAAGGAAGAAAGATATAAGTTTTTACCTCCTTGGTTTGCTCGTACATCTTTTGACAAGCCTTGTAGCGGGCCAAGTCGATTTCCGACATGTCCACCTCTCCCTTTTGTTCAGGGTCCAGCATCCCGTATGCCTCAGCTGTAAAAAGCAAAAGTTACCAAAGCGATCATCAGGACTGCTTGTTGGTGGAACTTCAGCAATAGGAATGTATTTAGGTAAAACAGGACCAGTGTTAGGATTTAATGATTGAATTGCAGTTGATCCTTCAAATGACAAGTAATAGTCACCTTCCTTGTGACGATACATTGCGCAGGTGTTTCTTACTAGTGCATCTGCTATGATATACTCTTTCTCATGCTCTAAGATATGCTCAAAATTCTCGATTTCATCATCAAATAATGTGCCCCTAATTTAGTTACCCTATATATATATAGCAAAAAAGTCAAAAAAAGAACTTAACATCAAACTTTAAAATGAGAAATGCATCATCAGATTATTATACCTCATCATCTTCAAAGACAAGCTTTTGGAAAGCTTTCTTGTTTTCTGGGTATTTTGCAGGTGACTTTTCCTTGACCATTACTTTGATCTTATATCTCTTATTCTTGGGAGTTAACTTGTCCAAAGGAACATATTGAGGTTTCATCTAATACAAAGGTATGGTTTTAAAACGATATTATAAGCAAACTATTATAGCAAACCAATAATTAAATAAGAAATGCACTGATCATAAGTCTTAGACATTAACACTCTAATGTAAAAACACCTGTTGTTAAATACAATCCTAACTAACAAGGCTAATAACACACTCTAAATAATATAAGCAACCAAAACTATATAGACTTTAACATGATACACAAATTATAAGTTATGCTCATAAACATTAAACATAACATGTTATAAGGTTAAACTGATATACAATATACGGGTGAAGAACTTTAGTCTACAGGAATTAGTAGACTCTTTTCAGTAAATTAAAGTCTCATATAATACAGGAACATATTTTAAATAGTGATTAATGCTAATGACTATCATAGCAAATAAGTATAGGGAACGTTCATGCTGTGCTTACAACTACTAAACAATGTGCTGAAGTCAGTATAATTTTTAAAATGCACAACAAATATAACACAATAAATACAGAAAACTACAAATATACATACTCTGCAATAGATAGAAAAACAATGAACTCATAACTCACAAATTATAGTTAAGCACATTAAATATGGCATGCTGTTACATAGAATTTAGTATTAGAAACACATTTCACATCCATGATAGGATTAAGCAAACAATGATATATAAATTTTCAATTTTACTGCACATTGTAAGGCACAACAAAAATGATTTATGTTAAATTATGACAATAAATTTGATCTAGCACAGCATTCCCAAAAAATACAAATCAACAATAAATAAGGAACTACAAATCATGAGAATTCAACCATTAATGCACTGACCTTAGCTGGTAGATATCAGAGAGAATAATCTACAAAGAAGTTTAACTCTAAAAGAAAATTCAGGAGCACGTACTAAATGAGAGTAGTGATCTTTAAATAGACCAAGTAAAACCTTAAAACTGGCTCAATGATATAGCTGTAGCTTTTGTATTGGTCAGAAGCATAGAGCTATGCAATGTCCAATGGTTACACAGATACGTTCACTTTATCTAGATAAAAGTAAGTTTCTAATATCTCAAGGTGTACTTGGATATAATTGCTTAGCTGTAAAATACTCTAGTGAGCCAAATGTCTAATATGACTTTGACTTCTATATTGACATATGAAATTATATATTTTTTATTCAAAAAATGACCTCTTTTTGTGAACTCTTTTTTTATCTATCTTTTTTTTTTTTTGTGTTGTCAGCTTGTTTTAAAATTAAATACAATTAAAAAGTGTTGCTTACTTAACCTAATACACTATGTATATTTACAAGGCATCAATACACAACGTATTTAAAAATGAGATAGTTGGATATAACATTAACTGCTTAATTTTGTTCATTAATAATAAGCATGAGTACAAAAAAAAACCATGTTAGCTCTCTACTTTCGCAAATCCTCATAAATGACCTTGTCCTTCTTATAATTGCAAAATTGTCTAAAATATGTGACATTTTTCCAAAAGATCAGCTTGCCATACCCTTGCAGATTTAAAAACCGCAACAAAGTAGCCTTGACATTAGCTGCAAAATAACAAACCATGCTAAAGCTAGTTTTTTTAAAAAAAAAAATAACAATCAACATAGTAGCTTGACTTAGTTTAAGCATCTAAACGTTTTAAAAATGCAAATAGCTTACCTTAAAGTAATGTCTATATATTACTTGCTAGCCATAAAACATCATATGACACAATGTTCTTCACACTTGACTTAGGAACAACAGTTGATGGTTGAGGTGTATAAACAGTAACCATAGCAGACTTCTTAGCACGTGAAAGAGCAACATATAATTGACCATGTGAGAAGCATGGGTGGGGAAGATAGACTAACACTCGATTTAAGGTTTGACCTTGAGACTTATTCACTGTCATTGCAAAACTTAATTTCAATGGAAACTGTTTACGTTCAAACTGAAAGGGATACTTAGAGGAAGTTGAAGGCCTCAAGTTCACTCGAGGCACAAAATAAAATGTGCCTTTATAATGACCCGATGATATTTCACATATAATAGAATTAGGAAGGAACCGCCTACAAATAAGACATGTTCCATTGCACATGCCTTTAGATGGGGCTAAATTGCGTAATAAAATAGCAGGGCCGCCTATTTTCAACTCAAGCCTATGAGGACTCATTCCCCCAGGGCAGAGCGAATTCAGAACTCAGTAGGGTATAGTGTGCAGCTATCATCAAGGACTGAGTCATAACTTAGATATATAGTAGATATACTAGGAAACATGCCAATCATATGCTCATTTATGATATCAACATCTTCATTCATAGATGTAATGATTGCTCTTTCATTAAATATGCTACTATCAAACCCTTGAACCTTAATTTCAGGAAATATTGTTGCAGCCAATATAGAAACAGCATCTTCATTAGGAGCATAATAGCTAATAATATGATGTGGAACCTGAACATAAGAATTTTCAATTGATTGTAGTTGTCCATTACCAAGAGAAAGAAGAAATGATGAATGTACAGGGTCTTCTTTGGCTCGAATGTTTTCCGTTAATCGGAATTTGATCAAAAGGGGCCAAATGTGAGAGCTAACTACACTCACACCCACAGCCTCTTTTTGAGTTCGACGAGGCAGAATAGGCAACACTTGCCTAAAGTCTCCTCCAAAAACAACAACTTTCCCACCAAAAGGCACTTCAGGGTTACAAAGATCACGCAGCAACAAATCCAAGGACTCAATATTTTCTCTTCGTGCCATAGAAGCTTCATCCCAAATGATTAGAGCAGCATCTTTTATTAACGCAGCCAAACTCCCTTGCTTAGGAACATCACAAGCAAGAGATATGTCAGAATTCAAGGGTATTTTAAACCTAGAATGTGTTGTCCTCCCAGAAGGAATATTAGAAGCTGATATTCCTGATGTTGCTGTTGGTAGCACTATCTTCCCTGAAAAAAGAACCTCAACATACAAAGCATTATACAAAAAAGTTTTACCAGTTCCACCTGGTCCATCCACAAAAAAACATCCAGGCTTGCCATCTTGGATATGACTCAAAATGCTATTAAATGCATTTGTTTGGGCCGCATTTAACTTGCTGCGACATTCAAGACATTCTGGAGGAATTGGTGCCTCTAAAGCATCTGCAATATCTTTTGTGATGTGAATTCTGGCATCAGTCTCTTCTATCAAATGGCCCAACCCGAAATTCTCCAATGACTTGCCCATAGCTTCTAAGTTGTTTTCAACTTCCCTAATAGTTAAGCTCATGACTTTAGACTTGCAATTTGGATACTTATAATTGAAATCTTCAGATAAAGAAGTATAAAAGCGATCCCAAAGTGCACATGGATTACTTGGCTTACAAAATATAAGCAAAGTTGTAAATAGTTGTCGCATTATTGAAGGCATTTATGCTTCTGCTGCTTCTTCCAAACAAGCAGTGGTGGCATTGTCCTCTTGAAACAACCCCTGTTTTATTGCAGCTTCTTGAAAAGTGGGATAAAGAATTCCATTCACAGTTCTAATATGCTCAAAAGATGTAGTGCTAATAATTTTACCAAGCAGCAAACGCAGAAAGAACCGTTCCCCTTCTGCGGGATCCACAAAGGCCATCCTGCCAACATTTTTTTTATGGCTTCTTTTAATCCATATCTTCTTGCTGGATTCCCATCTGTATTCTGATACCACTTCATTATATTGCAGCCCTTTACCCCCATTAATGTGTGCATTTAAGCTGAAAAATTCTGTTAAAGCGCCGCTGGTGGAACTCCCAGGGAATGGCTTTCTACCAGTTCTGCTTCTTTTTTCATCTTGAACTAATGATTCAAGATTTTCATGAGACCTTAAATAAATTGTTTGCATATTAGGCAAATGAACTGGTAACACCATAACAGATGGAGTCATTTCAAACAGATCAAAACCAAATATTCTCCAGGCTGCTTCACATGGAGAAACCCACCTACCAGCCTGAAAATTCTCAATTTCATCAACACCTTGATTGTTTGCTCCATTAATATTGAATGAAACCCTATCATGTCCCTTGTAGACATATTTATAGAGATAATTCACTGCTTGAATAGTGGAACATACTTCAACATTTAAATGGCAATCAAACAACATTGACAAATATGGATTATAAGGAATGACCCAGCGGTTATCAAGAGTAGCACCACGTATCCTTACATGCTCTCCTGTATTCCGTCTCTTATACAATGGAAAGCCATCTTCATTAGTTGTGGTCTCTTCTAAATAAGATTTAGGGTAATTATATTTACAAACAACTTCATCTCCAATTTTCTTCTTCATGCATCCACAATTAGGGTGTAAACTACCACAAGGACCATGCATCATGTGCTTCAAAACGATTTTGCGCAATTCAGGAGAATCAGTTGGAGGAATTTATGCACTAACAAACCTATCATAGTCTGCAAGACCAGCAAGTTTATACCCATGATCTAGAATAATAAGAAAGTGAGCATGTGGCAGACCTCTTTTCTGGAATTCAACAACATATACCATGGCAGCCACCTTTCCAAAAACTCTTTCTTCTGTTATTTGTTTTTTCAAAGCAATCAACATTGCTCTAAAAACACGAGCAACAACATCTGGACAGTCAGCTGCAACTTCTCCCTCAGAAATTTCAGCTGTTATCTCCGGCCATTTAGCATTACATGTCATTGTGACAAAGAGATCTGGCTTTCCAAACCGCTGCACAAGAGCCATGGCATTTAAGTATCGCTTCTTCATATCCCGAGGACCACCAATAAAAGTTGGTGGTAAAATAACACGCCGACCAACATTGCTAGCACTTTTCTCACCATCCTCAACAGTATCTAGAATGCCCTGATACAAATCTTCCTGTATTGTCTGTTGATTTTGCCGGAAAAAATCAAGTCTTGTGTTTTCAATCTTCACATACATATCAACAATGTATTGTTGAAAGCATCGGCCTCCACGAAGAAGCATGTTCCCTGGCCTAATCTGCAGTTTATATGCATAATATTCCCTGGGAGAAATATGCCTTTTAGAGTCCCCTGAAGAGTCAGCTGTACCTGCATATTTGAAATAACATATCAAATTAGAACTCAAACGCAACATTGTAACTATAAGACACTCAGCTAGCAAACTAATGTGCTTTAAACTAATTGCTCACGTTTTGCTTCTTCTTCTATAAAACTCTCTTCTGAATGCACAGCACATGAAGCAATAGGGTCTACATCCATTAAACCTTCCTGCACCGAATCCTTATAAATCTTTCGCATATCTTGAGTCCACCCACATTCACCATATGGGAACATAAGAGGATATTGTAAGGGATCATAGCATCCATAATAATGATATATTCGATGAGGATCACTGGACCTGCTTGTCACAACAATATGTGGGCTGCTATAATCACTGGAAGACATGCTATCTGGCTATATAGCCGCCACTTCATCAGTTGATGGTGCATTGTACACTCGTTGATCTAATATTGTGCTCTGATTAATAATTATTTGTGTAGTATGAGTTATAGTTAACTCACTTAATGATCTGAAAAACCGAGCATATGGGTTTGCACTTGTAACACGCATTAAAATATCAACTATATCTCCCCTCACCTCAGGAAAATTTTCTGTCCTATGCTTGGCCTCTAACTGTGCATCATAAAAATACATCTGCAAGTATTGAGGTTTTGCATTTTCTGGTAACAAATCAGGCAAGTTATGGTAAATCTGACCATGCAATAAGAATACATAAATTCCGTTTTCAGTCTTTGCATTATAATTGCCACCAAGAGAGCAGAATGCAAATAAGTTATTGTACATGCGAGAATACTTCCTAAAATGTAATGCATCCTCATCATTAGATGTAAAGAGCCGATAAAGTTCCACAGGCAGGGCATTTGAAGTAATCTGAATACTTCCATTCCCACAACAAAAATGAAGCCATTCATACTGGAAGTTTTTAGCCCTACACTTTGGGCAATAATGTACAGCCTCCAACTGTAAAGGAGCCAGTGGAAGAGGTTGACCAATAGCAGCAGCTGGTTGTTCTGCAAAGTATTTCTTGTAAAATCAAGACTGCACAACATACATAACAGCCCACAAACAAATTTCAACACAAGCTTACTCTTTTTTTTTTAAGTCGGAGCTTTAGGAACTTTTGGCTTAGGCTATGTTTTTTTTTACAATTTCTTCGTGCACCCTTTGCACTTCTTTCACCAACCTCACTAAACATATAACCATGAATTAGGTGAAAATCTAAACATCAGTATTGTCCAAATAAATAAAAGGCAACAAAAAATGCAGTTGTCCTAACCTAACTGAATTGGCTGTTGAAAGACCATCTATTCGCTCTAAGTAAGTCACAGCAACTATCACCCTCTCTGTTAAAAATAACACATTAAAAACCTCAAACAAACCACACTTAATTGAAAATTATAATAAGAACAACATGCTTACTGTCTTTTGTTGGCTGAATCGGTTTTTGAATTGTACTTGACAATGCCTTAGTCTGATTGTTGATCCGTTGTGATTGTTTTTCACCATTGTCAATAGCAATAGTTCATTCAAAACTTTAAGATATTAACATATGCACAACCAACCCTTAAAATATCTGTATACATAAACTCATAAAACCTATTCCCAACCTGATCGTATTTGCACCTTGGAGAGACCCAACAGCATGCGAGTGTTTGCTAGCACGCTGCCTCACATAATCTCCACTCTCCTCAAATACATCTGTAATTAACCCTAGCAAAGCATTAAGATCAACCCTCTGCACTGCTGTTAAATCTCCTACACATTAATCTAATAATTCTTGTAAACATATCTATTTACTAATATGCAAAATTCATTTTTTGCTGCTCAACATCTTTAATATATGCTTAGATATTCACCAAACAATTTTAAATAAACATAATTCCTTCCAAACAAACAACTGCAATAAACAGAAGGGGAAAAAATAAAAAAATAAAAAAAAACAACATGCTCACCTTCTAACTCCACAAAAGGATGTTTAGATTTTGATTTTGACTCTCCCTTAGCTTGGACCGTACTGTCAAACTTTTTTTTTTTTTTGCATTATTGCCAGCTCTTGGTATAGGCTGACCACTAACCTTGTTCGTCTTCTTTGCACCACCATCAGCTACCCCACTAAATAGGCAACCATAACCCATGAATAGGGGTGTACAAAAATTGGCCCGGACCTGAAACCGGACCTGAACTGACCTGAACCGGACCGGACCTGACCCGGACCTGTTGATTCAGGTCCGGTCCCGGTTCTTAAAAATCCAGGTTCCCGGTCCCGGTCTGGACCCGGTCCAAACCCGGGGTTTTCAGGTCCGGACCTGAAACCCGGGAAAATCGTAATTAAAAAAAAAAAAAAAAAAAGAAGAAAACCAAACTCTGAAAAATTGAAACTGAGTTTTCGTGGACTTATTTGTATTTTCGGTGGACTCATTTGTATTTTTGGTGTTTGAGAATCGGGACTTTATAGACTTTATGTAGTTTTGTAATTGATAATTTTGGTTTTATGCAACAGGTCTAAAAATCACAAAACAGGTCCATATGCAGGTCCATATGCAGGTCCAACAGGTTTTGTATTAAAAAAAAACGAAAAAGACACAAAACAGGTCCATTCAGGTCCAAACCCGGACCGGACCTGATTTTTCAGGTCTGGCCCGGAGCCGGACCTGTTAATTCAAGTCCGGTCCCCGGTCCTCATAATTACCCAATTCAGGTCCCCGGTCCAAACAGGTCCGGTCCGGTTTTGGACCGGTGTACACCCCTACCCATGAACATGTAAACATCTAACAGTATTAAGCACATTATTGATTACCTAACTAACCTGTTTTTATCTGGCTCTAAAAGGGAACTAATAGCACGTGATCGCTTGCTAACACGTTTTCTCACATTAGTTGTACAGTTTATCAAATTATCTGTAATGAACCACCACATCACATCAAGCTCAATAATATCCACTGCAATGCTTGCTTTCAAACAACTGTCTCATCTTCTAACCAAATCTATGAACTCTTATGATATTTTTTTTGACCAAAAATCCACCTAGAACATGCTAAATACATACCCATGTCAGAGGCCACTAAGCCAGTAATTTGAAAAGGTACAAAATAACATAAGCATGTACGCTGCAACACATTATAGGCTGAAGTTACTAAAATTGGTAATGAAATTGTTAAGCAACACATAGATGCAGGCTGATATTAATAAGAAAACCACCATTTTAAAAAACAAAAAAAAAAGTCATAATTCATTCCATTCAAACCAACAAAAGTACAGATCATTAGATGTTCCTGCTTGAAGCCAAAGATTACACACCATGGCACAACATCACATAAAAAGCTTAAACAATGTGGACCTAATCCGGCAGGAGTAAGCTAAAAACCAAAATAAGACCCAGAAAGCATAAATTGATAAACTTAAGGCCACCAAGCCCCTAACAAACTACTTAAAGCCTACTAAATTAGGCTACAGCTTTCTACGCTTAAACAACTTCTAAGTTTTCAGGAACTGAAACAAATAAACCATCAGGAACTGAAAGAGAACGCTGAACAGCACGTTCACTAAATGAAGATGAGGCCTTAGGCTTACGAGGAGCTGCTGGAGGCAAAGCAGGAGTTGGAATCTTATGATAACCAGATTGGGGTGTCAAGCAATCATCCCCACCAATATAAGGAGCTAAATGCAAATCTCCTTGCTTCCCAATGACACGCTCCCTAACTGACATGTAGCTCTCCCTAGACAGTGCACACTTGATACCACAGTACGTTCCCCTGCCATAATTCAAATCAACTATGTCCACATTGTAACAAATTCGCAAAAACTGAATAGCTCGTTTTGCAGCATCTTGTTTTGCAGCATTGCAACTACCAACCAACTGGCTGTAAATACACTCCATATTCATGCTACTACGAGGATACATAGTCAACCAAGCAACCCACTTAGCTGCAGCAAGCTCAGCCACTTTAATAACAGAAACCCTTGCCTTGGTTGCAACAGCAACAACCCGAAGTACATCAATGTAATCAATGCATATGTATTTGTCACCATGTGGTTTAGTTGGTGGAACAGGCCATCTATTCTTCTCTGCAGGCTTAGCCTTGTTCAATGAATCAACAGATATATGCTTCATCTCATAAAGAAAAGCACAGAGGTCAAGCCTATACATGGCCTCAGAACTTAAGTCATGTATCTGCAGTCCATACTCTACTCGCAGGAAGCGAATAGCTTGTTCAGCAGCATTTTCGCGAGAGGCATCAAGAGTAACAGCAGGTCCACCCTAAAAAGTATAGGGAGAAAGGATACAATCATTAACCAAGGTAAGGGTCACAGCATTCCCAGCAGCACCAGTTAAACTGTAAGTAGGAGCTACCAGCTTTAAGAATCCAATAACCTGATTCAGCAGGCACTGAAACGAAATGGTAACTTTCACTGATTCTGGCCTCATCACCTGTGTGCAGAACCAATATAGACCATCAGAACCTAAGCAGCCACACCACACTACAACAGCAAGTTATGGTACCAGTCAGTCATTGTTAATACCCTACCAAGTCTTACAATTGCAGCTCCTTCATGATAAAAATTGTTGTTACCGTGCCCCCCCCCCCCCACACGCAACCTCAAAAACAACTTAAATATCAACTACCCTAACACACAGGCCACACCATCCTAACACCCTTAAAACACCAAACAACGCAGCTGTACAAAACAGTCAAGACTAAGAGACAAACACAAATGCAGAACAATCAAAGCACAGACACAGAACAACAACACAACAATCAACACATTCAGCCATAGAAACAAATGCATTAATCAAACTCCCAATAATATACCACAACTATTATATTTGAATTTGGTAATAAACACTTACAACAAATGGTACAGCACAAACAATCCACAACACTTGCTTACAACCTACACCAGAAATACAACCAAAGTCAGAATCAAAATAAGACATCCACCCAAAACAGCAGCATCATATATCACTGTCCAAAAACTATAACAGCAAGCCATCAACAAATACTCAATTAATGTAACACCAACATTCCATATTCATAAATACATTGGCCAGAATATATTATCCCTAACACCTGATCAACAAAGCTAATAAAATAGAAATACATTCAATCCTAACATAAACACTAAAACTTTCTAAACCGTTATATTACATTATTCAACACTCCATGCTTTTAAATTGTCCCTAAATTATACTATTACCATTCCTAAACATAATGTTATTATTTTAAGCAACCCATCATCATCAAGTAATGCTACTTAAAATTACAGCAATTTAAAAAGAAATGAAAAACAATTTATATATATATATAGCTATAACAATTTCAACCAAAAAGCTACTCCCATCAAGGTAACCAAAAATCAATTTTATAAATCCAAACAACATAATC